AAAAAAAAAAATTTTTCAATATTTTTTACAATTTTCTTCTCACCCGTTACATAACGTAATAATATCTTACGAAAGTTATAATTATAAAAATATCTTTGGAAAAAACCGAACTTAGGGCAGCCAGAGTAGAAAACTTTGTGTTTTGAAGTGAGATCTAGTGTGTTCTGTACGTCATAAGTTTTTACTATCAATGTTATATCAAAGATTTGTAATTTGATTTTCATTCTCGATTTGTTTCCATCGCAGCTACACTTGGAGGCACAATGGACAACAGTGGCGTGTGGACGTACGCGCGATCAGCTCGAAATGACGCGAGCCGCACGCCGATTCCTCAGCAACCATGGATACCTGCCTTTGCGTCCTCGTTCTTTGAATTTTTAAAAGCCTGATCTTAGCCACGACTGCGTTTCGTGGTGGAAAAAAAAAAAAAAAGGACGGCGTTAAACTAGTCGTAATTCCGTTTAAGGAATATGGCCTTTTTTTTCTATCGAAAATCTATCAGGGGTGAGAGAAAAGAAGAGAAAAGAAAGAAACAGCGAAGAAAAGAGAAAGATAAATCTATTAGGCAATTTTTTTACAGGCTGAATACGAATGCGTTGTACATTGGAATATTTTTTAATTATCTTATGCGAAAGAGTTTAGTACCGAAGTATTCCGATGCATAGCGTGTGTATTATACAGTCGAATTTTTTCTTTTTTTTTTTTTTTTTTTTAACGAAAAAAAACCGTGATGCATCGGTAGTTGCATCTCGAAAGAGAAAATGTCACGGTTTATCGCGACATATCTCCGTTTGCAGATCATTCTTAAACCGCAGAAAACAAAAGAAGCAAAGCAAAAGACATTTCTGCCTTCTTTTTTTTTGTATAGCTGATAAAAAGTTGCTACTATGGTGGTCTACACTACGAACGTAGAAACGAAGGAAAAGTCTCGATCTTTTCACAGTGATTTCTTATTTTCGTAAGCGTTGCTTGTTCCCTGGTGAAACACGTACAAATCGCAAACATACATTAAAATACAATTTTTTTTTTTTTTTTTTAAGCAACATTAAAGGTGTAGCAATGTTCTCGCGTAAAGCATGATATTGCATTACAATTTTGGTTTGTAGTTGAAGAACTTCTGACGCATAAGTA